CCCACTGCAAATATTTTTTATTTTTTATTTATATTTTGCATTCATAGTTTTTGTTTTTTTCACATTGATAAATTAATTTATTTTATATATTTACACAAATCATATATTTAAGTATAATTAATTGAATTAATTTTTGATTATCGGTGGTACACTTATGAATTCATTATATCACATAAGGTAGAATATATTGGAGCGCGGTACACTACTGGCATCCGTGAACATTTTTAGTGACAGCAGGGTTAGCTGAACGTTTTGATATAAGATATGTGTAGGTGGGCTTGATAATGACATAGTGATGGCAGTTTACAAATCATGTTCTGATTTTTCCTTTCACACTGCAGCATTCTCACTCTAATGTGACTCAGCTGCCCCCTGAGTGACCTTTGCTTGCACCTGTTACCTCAGTCAGTCACAGGTGTGTGAGAAGGTCTGCTCTAAACAGGCTGTTTAAACTTGCCAAGTTCACTGGCGATTGCCATTTTCAAACGCTTGTAGTTTTAAAAGTATAAATGCTACCGTGAAAAGGTTTATATTGCGACAATCACAAGAAAAAGGCCTAAATTTTGATGTATAGTATGTCTCTGCAATATTAAAAATGAAGGCACAGTCGCAGTTAAAAAACGTCCCTTAAAATGTCTGGTGTCTAGAGTGGAGTTTCAATGAAAGTCAATGGGAGGGGTGATGTGCAAACAAATGGTCATATTCTGAAAACTATCAGGAGTATGTCCTAGCCGTGAACATTTTTAGTGACAGCAGGGTTAGCTGAACGTTTTGATATAAGATATGTGTAGGTGGGCTTGAAAATGGCAGAGTGATGGCAGTTTACAAATCATGTTCTGATTTTTCTGATTTTTCCTTTGCACACTCTAGCTGTGCTGTGCTGCTCAATGCATTCCTATGGGAAAATTTCGCCGCAAAAACCGCGATATTTCTTGAACGATTCGGCGAAACGTTCTACAAAGTAATAGCAATCCGATCGGGATCAATGCGCACGTTTTGATATATTACTTGTCTTTGTAGTGTAAAAACTGTGGGAGGAGTTAGCGTGGCAAATATGGCTATAATAAGAATAAGAATAAGAATATATATGTGAGATAACAATAAGTGTTCCTTGCTATGCAAGAACACTTAACTACAAAAGCTACAATTTCTGGGGAAATTGTGTGAAGTGTTCTTGCCTCCATCAGTAGTCTACAACTGGAGTGGGCGGAGTAACGTGTGTGGAGTGGCTTGAGTAACTGTTGTGTGGTTGGAGTGGCTGGAGTAACTGTGAAAAGGTCAATGGGTGGCGTGAGTTGCAAACAAATGGTCATATTGTGAAAACTATCAGGACTATGGCTTAGCCGTGGACATTTTTAGTGGCAGCAGGGATAGCTGAACGTTTTGATATACGATTTGTGTAGGTGGGCTTGAAAATGAGGGAGTGATGGCAGTTTAGAAATCATGTCCTGATTTTTCAGCTCACATTCTAGCTTTTGTCAGTTCCCACTCTAGTTTGAACATTCCACCATTCATTCCACAAAGTAATAGCACACCAATCGGGAACAATCCGCACGTTTCGGTATATTACTGTCTATGTAGTGTAAAAACTGTGGGAGGAGTTAGGGTGGTAAATTTGGCTATAATAATAAGAATATATATGTGAGATAACAGTAAGTGGTCTTGCCATGCAAGAACACTTAATAAGAATATATATATGTGAGTCAACAGTAAGTGGTCTTTCATGCAAGAACACCTACTAATCAAATTTCATCATAAATTTAGGCCAAAATGTATCCTGCTACGTCTTTTGCTAAAAAAACAAAAAAAAAAACAAATACATGTAAATTATTTTGTTTACGTGAAAGTTATAGCGTCTACAAATGGCGGTATATATATACTGGAATTTATTTTTTTTTAATACTAGTAATGGTGGTGATCAGGGGCTTATAGCAGGACTGCGGCGGGCATTCTGCAACTGGGGGGAACTAACTGCCACTGACATCCCAATGACACTAATAAAGTGATCAGTGCTAATAAAAAGCACTGACACTGTAGTAAGGACACTGGGCAGGAAGGGGTTAACACATGGGGCGATCAAAGGATTAACTGTGTGCTTTTATTAGGGAAACATACTACTGTGTATTTCTCAGCTGTGCAGAGAAATACACAGCAGCATGTTACTGCTGGCAGCAGAGAGACCTGTGTTCTTTATGAGGTCGTCCAGAAGAGGACAACTGCTCTGTTGAATGTGGGTACTGTAAAAAGGTTTGAATAAAATCCTTTGAAATTGTGCTAAAGGCACCCCTACAATGGCAAAAGGGCTTTAGGGAAGACTTGGTGGGCTTCATGGGCAAAGTCTTGTGCCGAAAGGAAGGGCTAAACTTAGGCTTAGAAGTTGAAACCTGGGTAGTGTTGAGGTGCTAAGAGTTTTGAAGAAGTAGAGGATCCTGAGGAATCGGATTTTGAAACTTGCTGTTGTGGAAGATGAACCCTTCCTCCTGAGACATCTTTGATGAATTTGTCATGTGCTTTACCAAAGAGATGTCCTCCTTCAAAAGGGCATACATGTGAGGTGTCTTTTCAGGCAGCTTAAGCTGAGCAGGCTTTGAGCCACGAGACACTGCACATGTGAATGTAACACGTGTCCTAACGTGTGTTCTAGGACATCCACATAAGAGCACAGCAGAAGATAATGCTGTAATTGTTAAGTTTAAGCCGTGTCTCAGCCTTTTTCAGTCAAGGCACTCTTAAATTTTGCACAAATCTCAAGGCACAAAATTTTAAAATTTAAACTAATATTTTACATAATGGATCAGCATCCACAACATTAGAGGTGGTTTTATTCCTCCAACTTTTTACACTGGTATTGACCAGTATGCTAGAGTTTCCCTTCTCCCTCAGTTTCTCCCCTCTCTGCTAATGTGATGCCAGGGCTGACAGAGGGGACGGGGAGGAGCAAACAAAAATGCCATGCAGGTGCCTGATGATCTCCTTCTCAACCGATGATGTCATTGGTTGTTAGGATGCCAGTGGCTGGCCCTCACAATGCCCAAGGCTGTGATGCTGCACAATAACAGCCTGCAGCTTTCTGTAACAAAATGGCGGGTTTAATCCACTCATGCTTTTTGACTATTTTCTTGCAATTTGTGGCACTTTTTAGGCTTTTAGCCAAGGCACCCAGCTAAAAAAGGATAAGTTAAAGTATGATCCTGGAATACAAGATCATGTTAGTTGTTCATTGTCCTAGTCCAGTTAGCTGGGGTTTGGCAAACAATAATGGCAGCACTGGGCCTGCAAGTGAATAAAAACTTTAAGAGCATCTCAAACTTCCAATTCGCAAAATAATTTGAAGTAAGGAACATGTTCAGTTGGTACAGTGAGATATTTGTTTAAAACGAAGACAGTGGGGTCTAGTACCAGAACAGAGCACTTTTTTGTGAACCCTTTTTCACTGGGTGGAGATCAGCACTGACTTTCAGAGTGACATTTTTTTTGTATTGAACCAAAAGTCATAAATTGCCCATTCTGCATGTTCGTGAATGGGGGATGTCTTCTTTTTTTTTAAACTTACCCACTCTCTTTTTACCCAAACTGGCATTGCAAGGTGGGGGGAGAAGGGTGACAATATCGAGACTGTTGCACAGAGCAGAGGTGAGCAAACATACTGCATGAGAAATCTTCCACAGCTTCCTCTAACATTGCTTCCAGGTCCTCTTCATTCCCTTCTATATCTGCCTTTTCTAGGATGGGCATATCGGGATACGACTGACAGAGACATTGAAGCTAGAGAATTAGCCTGGCGTTTTCGAGCCCTGGATAGTGATGGATGTAATAAAGCCATATGTTGTCCGAGGAATGGTGACGTAGTTGCAGAAAAGTCTGCCTTAGATAGGTAGGGTGCAAGCTGTGTGCCTTACAGCTAGAATCAGATGCAGATACTGTGTTAAAAACAGGTCCTGCTCCAGTGCAAGTGAAGCATCCTTACTATGAGGTGGAGTGTTGTGGGTGCCTTTGACAGAGTGAATGTTTGCCTGAGTTTTTGCAATGGCTCACTTGATTTCTGTCACTGCTACAGGTATTCTCCCTTGTGGAGTACTCACAGAGTATGGAGCAGAAATGGGGTAAGCATGCCCGAGAAGTAGTACACAGCAACCCAGGTGCAGACAACGCTGTAGCAAAGTCTTGTTGCAAAAATCACAGGAGTAAGCATCCGAGTGCCCTCTAAGGGGCTCTAGGCAGAAGTAGGAGTAAAGAGTGCAACCTGTGATGTGATGTAACACCTGGTAATCTGAGACTAAGTTCTAAGTGGCTGCATTTTAGCATCAAGTTTGAAAAGTTTACACTGTAAAAGTGAAAACATTCCAAACACAGTCCTGGTTTCCTGACAGCTAAAAATGTGAGAATTGTGGGGCTACAGTAATGGTTAGAGATACAGGACCACCCTGTCTTACCCATCCATGTCGCTGGTCCCTATACAGAGTCCAGGCTTCATGCATCATGGTGGGCATACTTCCAGAAGGGCCTTCAGGGTCTTGGTTTCATAGGAATTGGTCAGTGCCCTGGACCTGTATAGCACCCACATTGAACACAGTGCTGGAATAAACATCCATGCAGGATCTAGTGCCTGAAGCAACACTTCTGGCCAGCTCCACTGTATGGATTCCAGGTACAGATCCCAAGGTTGCACTAACCTGGATGCACGGTTTCTATTGTTGTATTCATAGACTGTGATGAGTTGATTGAGAATCCGCAAAAAGAATAAACTAGTTAAGCCTAGAGTGATTTCTTCATAAGGGAGAAGAGGCCATTCACCTTAGAACAATAGCAAAAAAACTGAGGACTCACAAAGTGGGATAGGGTTATAGGAGAAATGCCCACTGTCCAGTCACCTGACGGTACCAGCCTGTAACCCAGAGTCTTTGAATATTCAGCCTGGGCACTATGCTGTACAATTAAAATGTTTATTTGTAAACAAGGAATTTATAAAAACACAGTCCTTCCTCTATAAAAAGTCTTACCAGACTGAGCTTTTGCCAGTGCCATGCTGCTCTGACCCTGAGGTAGAAGCTCTTGTAGTGCATTGGACTGAGGCTGCGATGAAGGATTTGCAACCTCCAAACTATTTTTGGGTGTGCTTTCTTCCTTGGCTTCCTCTTGTTCTGTCAATTCCTGGGAGTCTTTATGTTGAGGCTTGAACACAAAAAAAGGAAAATTTTTCATGAGGAAAAAAAAAAATACCAAATAAAAAAAGGACATTTGCTCCTATTCCAATTCTCTGCTGCTTGAGGCAGCATCACACAGAACCAAACAAATATTACATTTGATAGATGTCTTAGCCTGGTTAAAAAAATACAGTTATTTAACACAGAAAGGGTACTAATCCTCTTTTATCACTGGATAGTCACTGGATAAAGAGAGATGTACTGTAATATTTAGGCAATATTTGGGCTAACAACTTGCAACTATACAGTGCATCCAGAAAGTATTCAGAGCGCTTAAATTTTTCCACATTTTATGTTACAGTCTTATCCCAAAATGGATAAATTCATTTTTTTCCTCAACATTCAACAAACAATACCCCATAACAACGCAAAAGAAATTTGTTTTGAAATCTTTGCAATTAAAAATTAAAAAAAAAAAAAAAACATGTACATAGGTATTCACAGCCTTTGCCATGACACTCAAAATCGAACTCAGGTGCACCCTGTTCCCACTGATCATCCTTGAGATGTTTCCACAACTTATTGGAGTCCACCTGTGGAAATTCAGTTGATTGGACATGATTAGGAAAGGCATAAACCTGTCTATATAAGGTCCCACAGTTAACAGTACATGTCAGAGCACAAATCAAGCCATGAAATCCAAGGAATTGTCCGTAGACCTCCGAGACAGGATTGTATCAAGCCACAGATCTCTGGGGAAGGGTACAAAAAATTTCTGCAGCATTGAAGCTCCCAATGCGCACAGTGGCCTCCATCATCCGTAAATGGAAGAAGTTTGGAACCACCAGGAATCTTTGTAGAGCGGGCCGTCCAGCCAAAATGAGCAATCGAGGGAGAAGGGCCTTAGCCAGGGAGGCAACCAAGCACCCGATGGTCACACTGAAACAGCTCCAGCATTTCTCTGTGGAAAGAGGAGAACCTTTCAGAAGAACAACCATCTCTGCAGCACTCCACCAATCAGGCCTGTATGGTAGAGTGGCCAGACGGAAGCCACTCCTCAGTAAAAGACAAATGGCAGCCTGTCTGGACTTTGCCAATAGGCACCTGTGGGACTCTCAGACCATGAGAATCAAAGCTCTCTGGTCTGATGAAAGATTGAATCTGTGGCCCGAATGCCAAGTGTCATGTTTGGAGGAAACCAGGCACTGCTCTCCACCTGGCCAATACCATCCCTACAGTGAAGCATGGTGGTGGCAGCATTATGCTGTGGGGATGCTTTTCAGCGGCAGCAACTGAGAGACTAATCAGGATCAAAGGAAATATGAATGCAGCAATGTACAGAGACATCCTTGATGAAAACCTAATCCAGAGCGCTCTGGACCTTAGACTGGGGGACGGTTCATCTTTCAACAGGAAAACGACCCTAAGCACACAGCCCACATAACAAAGGAGTGGCTAAAGGCCAAAAAAGGAGTGGCTACGGGCCAACTCTGTGAATGTCCTGGAGTGGCCCAGCCAGAGCCCAGCCTTGAACCCGATTGGAGAGATCTGAAAATGGCTTTGCACCTACATTCCCCATCCAACCTGATGGAGCTTGAGAGGTACTGCAAAGAAAAATGGGAGAATTGTCCAAAAATAGGTGTGCCAAGATTGTAGCATCATACTCAAAACGACTTGAGGCTGTAATTGGTGCTAAAGGTGCTTCAACAAAAGTATTGAGCAAAGGCTGTGAATATTTATGTGGTTTGACATGTGGTCCAATTTCTTGGACTTCATGGCTTGGTTTGTGCTCTGACATGTACTGTTAACTGTTGGACCTTACATAGACAGGTTTATGCCTTGCCTAATCATGTTCAATCAACTGAATTTCCCACAGGTGGACTCCAATCAAGTTGTGGAAACATCTCAAGGATGATCAGTGGGAACAGGATGCACCAGAGCTTAATATTGAGTGTCATGGCAAAGGCTGTGAATACTTATGTACATGTGGTTTTTTCCCGTTTTTTATTTTTAATAAATTGCAAAGATTTCAAAACGAACTTCTTTCATGTTGTCATTATAGGGTATTGTGTGTAGAATGTTGAGGAAAAAAATGAATTCAATCCATTTTGGAATAAGGCTGTAACATAACAAAATGTGGCAAAACTTAAGTGCTGTGAATACTTTCTGGATGCACTGTAGATGGACCTGTTTGTGCTATAAAAGCATTTCTTGATGATCAGTTGAATAAATAGCTCTATGTAATTAAGCTATATTGGTGCAAAAACAGAAGCTCTAAATGTATAGTTAGACAAATGGTTCTGTATGTTGTCTGTATCTGGGCTATAAACCAGCAGTTCTGGATAAACCATTGGATAAATCACTGTATATTATGGCTGCACCTGAGCCTATAAATCATTAGCCAAAAATGTATGGTTGGATAAATTGCTCAATATTTAGGTTGTATTTGTTCTAAAAACTAGAGGTACTGAATGGACAGCTTGATAAACGGCTCAACTGTATATTTATGCTTTCCTTTCAAATCGTTACCATTGTAATAGCAATACAAATGTTATTTTTGATAATTCAATACACGCTTACTTGAAAAATTTCTTTTCATTTGTCAGAACTGCCTGCTTGCCAGCCATCTCTTCCAGCGGCTTCTTGGATTCCTTTATAGCTGCTTTGTGTGGTTTACTTTTGTTTTGTAAGGACTACATATCCCATATTACATTGCTGCCTGCAAGCAGTAATGTCACATGTGGGACTTCTTCTGTACAAACCATCTCCTAAATTGCCTCTTCAGAAGCTCTTTGACATACAGCAGTGCATATCCTCAGTGTGCAGTGAGCATATGCCACTGACTTAAGTAAATGTGTGAGATTGTTCAAAAAGTAAACTTACATACTTAAAGATTATTCTGATCAAAATAAGTAGGCTAGAAGATTAAATGTTGAAATAGATACACTAATTTGACTGTAAAAGGTAGAAGGTTTTTTTTTACCTTACTGTATTCTATTCAGGAAGGTAAAAAAAAACTTCAGCATGCAGTTTCCCCTGCAGCCCTTTCTCAATACATACAGAGTCCAATCTCAATCCAGCGATGTGCACGAGAGCCGAGGCTCTGCCACTCCTCATTGGCTCAAATACAGCAGCAGAAACCATTGGCTCCCGCTGTCAATCAGAGCCAGTGACAAGGGTGTGGGACAAAACCCTGATTTGTCTTATGAACACACAGTGTAGAGCTCAGGAGCGAGGTCACACGAGTGCTCCCATAGCAGGTGGGGGAATGACAGCACTTACATTTTTCTTCTTTTTTAAATTCTATTAATTACACGACCAACATCCTTTGAGATGGCAATAAGCAAGACAGCTCCTCTCTATGGAGAGATCTGGGGTCTATTAGATCCCAGATCTCTCCTCTGCCCTGAACCAATATACGTTTGACCAGATGCTTTACAAGCCACTAACTGCTTGTAAACTTCAAACTGAAACCAGAAGTGATTTAATATTCATTGCTTCCAGTTCCTTACATCCCAGAGGGGAGGCGGGAACGGATGTACCTTTTTTTTTTCCCTCTGAGTGCACCAGGGATACAAGTGATGGCAGTACTTAGCTCCCTGATCAAACGGGGGAGTCTGATAAAGGCGGTGGAAGGGGAATCCCTTTCATGCCCTGTAGAAGAGATTAAGTGGCTGAATAGCCACTAAAATCACTTCTACATGAAAGCCCAGCACATGGCTTAAAGTTTTGATTCCGGAATGATGCTTGCAGGTATCATCCTGGTATAACTGCTTCAACCCGAGGACATACGAGAATGTCCTAAGAGGATGAAGGTTTCCTCATCCATCACCAATTTACTAACAGACATCAGACAATGTCACACCACTTCCTAAAACTCAATCTATCAAAAACTGAGCTCATAATATTTCCTCCCCCACGTGCCTCTACCCCTGATTTCTCGGTCAGGATCAATAACACCACTTTCAACCCATCCCCGCATACCAGGGTGCTAGAGGTAACATATCCTTTCAGGGCCACATCCAATCCCTGTCCAAATCATGCCACCTCAACCTCCGCAACATCTCCAGAATATGCCCCTTTTTAACCAATGATATCACAAAGCTCCTAATTCACTCTCTGGTTACCTCTCACCTCAACTACTGCAACTCCTTCCTCATTGGCTTAACTTTACATAGGCTATCCCCCCTCCAGTCCATCATGAATACTGCAGCCAGGCTCATCCACCTTACCAACCGTTCAGTGTCTGCTACCCCTCTCTGCCAATCCCTCCACTGGCTTCCACTTGCCCAATGAATAAAATTCAAAATACAACAACTTACAAAGCCATCCACACTTCTGCCCCCAGCTACATCACCAACCTGGTCTCAAAATATCAACCGAACGCTATCTTCGATCCTCCCAGGACATTCTGCTCTCTAGTTCCCGTGACACATCCTCCCGTGCTCGCCTCCAGGGCTTCTCCCAAGCTTCTCCTATCCTATGGAACTCCCTACCGCAATCTGTTAGGCTATCTCCTAATCCATCCACCTTTAGACGATCCCTGAAAATCTCTCTCTTTAAAGAAGTCTATCTTGCTTCTAACTAGTAAACTGCCTTTTATTTCCTCCATCAGCTCATCCCCCCACAGCGTTTACTTTTGTATCACTCAACCCTTCCTCCTAGATTGTAAGCTCTAAGGAGCAGGGCCCTCTGTTTCTTCTTGTACCAAATTGTATTGTAACTGTAATGTCTACCTTCATTTTCTAAAGCGCTTTGCAAACTGTTCGTGCTATATAAATCCTGTAAAATAATAATACTGATGATGATGAAGTCGTTAAAAACAATAAATCAAGCCAAGGATTCTAAAATGGTAACAAATAGCTAAGACATGTTCCTTAACCACTTGCCCTCCAGAGGATTTACCTCCCTTCCTGACCAGGCCAATTTTTGCAGTACGGAGCTGTGTTATTTTAACTGACAAATGCGCGGTCATGCAATGCTGTACATAAATTACATTTATGTCCTTTTTTTCCCTCACAAATAGAG